GTTACGACTCTGATAAATACCTATAATAAATAAATAAGATAGTCAATTTGATCCTATTAACTATAGCTAAAATAGACAAATGTTCTGAAACAAAATTCTACTGGTCTATGGCCAGCTTTACTTCAAATGCATATTACTAACAGCTGCTTATCCTGCTGCTTCCTGTGGTGAGGACCAGTTACTGCTGATAGTTGTATAAATGGCAAGGAACTGGTCTGTTACCTTCCCACTTGCAACTCAGCACAGCCTGGCCTTTGTATGGGCATTCCCTGCAACCTTTTGCCGACCTTACCCCTACACACTTGGTTAGATGACAACACCTTCCATTTCAGTTGCTCTTGGCACCCACAGAATTGCAAACAAAATGCCCCCAGAGCTTCCCACAGCACATTACTCAATTGCCTGGAAATGTTTTTCTCTAGAATTGGCCATCATCAATAAATGAATTATAGCAATACCCTCCCCCAAGCTGGCAATTTTCAAACTGAGATGAAAGTGCAATGGCTGACAGAATGGGGATATGAGGTAACATTGAAAATTATTTAAAAATGGTTGTAGATTCGTAAATAGCAAGCTGGGGTAGGGGGATTCCGGGGAGTTCTTTTTAACTTGTCTGGAGTTCCACATTAAACTTCCCCCAAATTTTTTTACAAGTTTAAAGTAGTAAAGCTCTGGCCTCAAGAGTAAATATTTATTTTTTGCTCTTAAATGTGAATTTAAAAATCAGCGTATGTGATGTACAGCTGTGTTAAACAAAAAGTGCTCGTAAACGTAATGCTTTGGTAAGCAGGAAAATGATAGCTGGGTTGAGATTATCTCTTTATGAACATGTTCAGCACAGTCGGGTGTTTGTTCAGTTACACTTTAGTTCTCTCTATCCTGGGCCTCATGTTTGAAAACGGTTTTAGTTTCCATCGAAACTGCCCGTGTGCTAAAACTGTAACTGCTGGAATAATAAACCATGGCTTTCTACCTTTTTGCAGGCAAGCACGGAAAGAGTAATGATAATCACTGGACCTAACATGGGTGGGAAGAGCTCCTACATTAAACAGGTGGCTCTCATCACAGTCATGGCACAGATGGGCTCCTATGTCCCGGCAGAAGAAGCCACTATTGGTGTTGTGGATGGAATCTTTACCAGGTACAGTACAACTTCTGTTTTATGTCAGCATAGTGGAGACCAGTTATCTAGCATTTTTAGATGGACAGCAACTAGAGCAGCCTTCTTATTTCTCTTGTGATAGATTTACAACCTTAACAGAGTTCTGTTAAGATTTGGTGCAATTACAATTGTAATTTAAAAAGAGATGTGATCCTGATCCAAATACTTCAGCTTTTAGTATGAGCTGCCTTTCAACACAGGCTACTAGCCAAAATCAATGCATTCCAACATGGATGTTTTCCAGTTCAGACGGGTGTAACAGCAAAATCGCTCAACCAAAAAACCTTTAAAGTAACTATATAGTTTTCTCAAAGATTTACATATATGTATGTTTGAAATGTTTATGATAGATAGATAGATAGATAGATAGATAGATAGATAGATATTTGCATACATACATGGGAGCAGTCATATATTTGCATATTACATACCCAGACTCCTGCTTTGCTGTGCCATAACTGAATTTTACTGCTCCTTCACACAATGCAAGTCTATGAGTTGGCCAACACATTAAAAATGGTGCATTCCCTCTGCTGCTGATATATTATTTAAACAGTCCTTTGGGCAACCTACAAACCTCTATATTATTACAGTAATAAAAATGTGGAAAAGCAAGCATGTAGATGTGTAAAGGTCACACAAAAGTGCTCACTGAAAATACACTATATTTACCTTCCCGTTGAAAGATTTCTGCATGCCTCTGTGTTACTACAGACCAAAAGTAGACATTTTATTCTAGAATATGTCCTCTTTAAAATGACACTAAAATTATGATTCCAGTAAGTTATTTACAAATAAAAATGGCTTTTTTTTAGTTTCCACTTTTCTGAAGCACCACTAAAATAATTTATGAACACAATGAATAAAAACAAAACACATTTGAATTCTATTGGTTGTGAAGCCATAGTTCCACTATAATGCATTTTTAAAACTGACTGCAGCATGAAAGAGGAGGTATGTAATCATATGTGTACCAATGGTTTTAAACACAACATCATGTAAGGAGAAAACCGATTACTCATAGGGATATCGTAATAATGAACAGAGATATAGGAAAAAGAAGAGAAAGAAAAAAAAAAGTCCATATCTCAAAACCATGGTGGCAAAGGAAAAAAAGCTACCTAATCATGACACAATGTACACCCAGAAGAGTAAGTAAGAGGATCCAAATTCTGTCAGGGGGACCAAACCTTTTTAAATTTGGACATATTATTCAGCAGTGCCGTAAGATATTCCAGATTATAAATGTCATGGATCCTCTTAGAAAGGTTCAAGTTGGAAGGCAGGACAGGTTGGCGCCATTTTGTGCTATTAGACTCTGGCTGTTGTAAAGATATATGATTCGCGAGTTCAGAATATGTTTTGGTCAAACATGGAATAAGAAGCCCAAAACTAAATGGACCGGGTCTTCTGGTACCTCCACATCCAGCAATCATTTAATCAAAGAAAGAACTTGTTTCCAAAAGGGATGTATCTTGGGGCGTGCCCAGTAGATGTGGAATAAAGTACCCAAACATTTGGAACATCGCCAGCATACAGCCGGAACCGAAGGATTAATCGTGTGTAGGAGTTCCGGAGTGTGGTGCCAGTGGTAAAGATTCTTGTACTGATTTTCTTTATAAAGAGTACAGATAGAGGTCTTACTCACGTTGGACCATATCCCCTCCCAATCCTCCATGTCTAATAGCCGACCCAAGGCATCCTCCCATTTGAGCATACTGTATATTTATGTTTAGGGAAGGGGTCAGAGGGGATATTGTTAAGCAGCTTATAAATATCTGAAATGAGACCCTTGCGAACAGGTCCATCTAAGCAAAACAAATGGCAAACGCACTCATCAATTCGTTAACAGCTTTATAGCAAGGTGCACATGGAAGGGCTTCAAACAGTAAAACAGCAAGTTTCCCAGCACACTCGTCAGCCAGCATCCCAAAAAAACCTGTCTAACCACTAAGGTTAAAAGCAGAGGTTTAGATACACGTCTTCTGCAGAAGGTCCAGCTAAGCACAACCTTTCAAATGAAGTAAGCTTGGAAAAAGTCTATCTATAAGAAACAGAATGGGCAAAATGTTTATTTGAAGGTAAGGGTAAAGAGATTTCGAATGCTTATGTATAATATTCTTGAACCTAAATAAAGAATTATGGGACCAAGGGGAAGCAGTATGATGGTCTAAAGTAGCTGGTAGAAGGGGTGTATAGAGAAATGAAAGCATCAGAGTGGTAGGGGAAGTCGGACCAAATCGAGCCCCAGTGTAACGCCAAATGTTTCTGGTATGAGTTATAGGAGTAAGCAGGTGCGGCAATCAGAAGTTCAACAACGAGGACCAAAGAAAAGAATTGGGGTGAATAGGGGAAATCCAGAGACTTTCTATCTCTGCCCAATGCTTAGGGTGGTAAAAAGAAGAGCAGGAGGCTAAATGAAGGAGATGGGCTGCTAAATAATACTTGAAAATATCCGGAAAGCCCACGCCCCCCCTGCAAGACTCTTGATCTTTAACCAGCAGTGCTACTATTTCTTTTAATGCAGAATAAGTGCTAGTTATTGAATAGAAGGTGTTCTTTATTTTCTTTAAGTTGTTGTGAGTAAAAAATGATGTTATTGCCTTGTGTGATTCAGAATTGATTTAATTGGAATGTAGACAACAAGCAGACAGCCTGCAGGGATCTTGCTGTAATTATTTTCTTTCTGAACAAAGTCAATTGTAAAGGTCACCAGGCAATCTTTTTTTTCACAGATAGGTATGTTATAAAAAGTAATCCAGTAAAGGGGAAGTTTATAATGCACATTCAATGCCAAATGGATAAATATATATTCTTCAAGTGGTGGGGGTCTTTTTAGTCTTGGTAAGGTGAGACAGGGTTTCATCCCATTCAGAAGACCACGGTGGTATTGGCCAACATATTGCACACTACCACTAAGGGGTCTGTTTATGACTGTTTTCACCCAACCTTATCCAAGAGTCACACATTTTTCTAATTGGATTCAGTTGGATGTGTGACTCCTGGGTTAAAGTTGTGTGAAAATATACAACAATACCACATATAGTGATATTCCATAAACACGTATTTGTATAAAAACAATGCAAACTTGTACACTATACAGTTGCAGAAAGCACAGTGAGTCTATCTAGTCAAATGCTTCCTGGAATGCATCTTCTGTATATCCATGTACATATTCAGAACCATTGACTCCAAACTTTATTTCACAGCAAAATTATAGTTTTTGCATTTGACAAAATTTCCTCAGATTTAGGGGCCTAAATCTTCCATCCAGCTATACACTGGATGAATGGCATTCACACGGCATTCCCACCAATGGATACTGGGGACTGCTCTGTCCCTTGAGATCTTGTACTGGACAGGCAGTTTAGGGAAACCGAGCTGAGAGTGTTGGAGACCGCTCGTTAGAAAAATCATGACTGTATGTGCTTGGGCAATGTATATTTGATCTGGATTCATTATTGAAAAAAGTTTGAGCGTTTAATGCTACTTTAATGTAGGTATACCATTATGATTTACATGAAAGTTTGTTTTTAAAGGGCATACATATAAAGCAATGAATGTGACTTTCTCCAAATATTCACTGCTTTATAAATATGACCCTAAGTGAGTTTTTTATAGAAGAATCCAGCCGTAGCTTCGGTTGATCCTTCGGCTCGCCGAAGCCGACCGTTCTCCGCGCAAAAGACAACAGCTGGGCAGAGCAATTGATGATTGCTGTGTAGTATCTTGTTTTAGGAGCTCTCCTCTGGGTGTATATGTGAACACTTACTCTCTTTATATTTGTTACTGAATTTTGAATTGAGCAAAAACAGCCATCTAAAATGCATCCTTCGTGCATGTTTGAGAAAAGAAGTAAGGATTATATGGCTGGGTGTTTGGAAAGCCTTCATATAGCTCAGAACATGTCATCTCGATTCATAAATGAGGCACCACGCTGGTGTTTTCGTTCCATTTCCCTATGCATATTTATGTCATATCTCCGCTGTATGGAGATTGTGAACTTTATTGTTAGTTATGACCTTTGTGTTTTGATATAAAATTTCAGTGTATAAATAGCGGAGGAGAAATTCTGCCAAACAAAGCATTATCTGGTAAATGAAGAACGTCCAACACTGTTTAATGTGGGATTCAGATTCAGTTTGATTTAAAATCAAAGAATATGTGCTTTGATATTATGCTTCCCCTTTGTTATAAGCCATGTCATTTGCAACTAAAATAAGGAGCAAGGCATCACTTACTTTGATTTAGTATATAAAGAAGTATAGATTGGCTGTAATCACTCTGGATATCACTAGGGGGCCAGGTTGAGATATTTATACAACCCAGCAGAGTATATATTTCTTTGTACATAATGCCAAGTTAGAATACAGTCCCACTGTGACAATCCACTGTATAAAGCGAAGAGCAGTGACATATATGCTTCAATCCATAGAAACCAAGCAAAACATGTTTATAGCAGTATAGTGCAGTGCAGTGCTCCTCAGCTAATGTCCTTAAGCCTTCTAACCTCTAACGTAGAATGATTGTCATACAACCAGTTAGATAAAATGCAATAAATGGTCATCTGTGTAAGACAATGACATTGTTTTCCACCTTGTGGTCTGTGCACAGAGCTGACAAACATGCACTGCTAGGAGACATTGAGGACCATTGTTGGTGCATTGATGCAGTCGCTAAAGGCTTATCAGTTGCTCTGAGTTAGGAAATATCTATATTTCTTGCCCTCTGCCATTAAATGCTCTTTTGTATTTTCAAGGTAGCTTGTCTTAATAGCACTTACAAAATATGCCGTTTACTTGCCCAGACTTTGTTTTTGTTTACCAGACCTATTGGGTACAATTCTCTGTCTTATAATACTCTGGTATTCTGATACGAGCTAATGCATGTGAGACTTCTAAACTCCTTCCATCAGACTGTGTATATTATAGTTATGGGTACCACTAATATGGGCTAATTGTGCACACTGATGATCATTG